CAAAGCCTACGGGCCACATTACTGCTTAAGACCCGGTCGCCCCTCCGGCAGTTCGGCACCAGGGAGCACTACCAGGCAGTCTGTTCGCCACCGGGCAGTTCGCCACCAGGCAGTTCGCCCCTAGGCAGTTCGGCACCAGGGAGCATCACCAGGCAGTTCGCCACCAGGCAGTTCTCCCTCAGGATGTTCGCCACCAAGTAGCTCATCACTAAGGCACATCACCTCCAGGTCAAACACGAGGTACTTAGCCAAAAAAATTTTACACATCCCAAAAAATGGTACGTGACCAAAAACGGTTACATCAATCCTTTTCTACATTTTTGTTGATGGTTCTTTTAAACCCTTAAGAGCGGTGAGCAGGTGTTGGCTAAGTCTTATTTACAAGGCATTATCAAACACTTGGAGCAGTGGGTATGAACTATAAAACTATGAGCAAGGTTCAAAATATCGATATGTTCGGTATGGGTGTATTGGGCAAATCAATACAGTTTTTGATGTATTTTTTTTTTAATTTTTTTCACAACCGGTTCAGGGGGGCAGTTTAGGGCTCCTCCACCCCCTGAACCGGTTAGACCCCCGATACACCCACTATAGAGACATATCGGAAGGGTCCCGGAATAATACGTATACCATATCGATACTTTCAACCTTGACTGTGAATACATATATTTTCTGATGCACAAGCTCTAGTTACTAGAATAAAAAATGATATCAAGGATAGTCAATGGTATCTTCAGCAGCTAATGGATTACCTGATGGATACATAAAAGTCTTTTTTTGATGTTATAAATAGGAAGTATAATGCATTAGCTCATAATTTGGTCAATTTTGCTTGTAAGAATCAGATAGACATCGTGTATGAACACCAATGATATATATGTACATGCACATATTGATGAATGATTGAGATCTGTAAATAGGTTTTATGGTGGTTTTAATCTAAAACATGAGTACTCTTATATAAATAACAGATTTGTCTGAAATTTCTAAATTCTTGATCATCTTTATAAAGATATTAGATTATCTCGGCTTCTTATATATGCATGATATCACAGAACATTCTTCCCATTATTGAAAAATAAGGTCAAACCCAATTTTTGGAAAAAACTTATTCTTTTTTCATTTTTTTACCTTCAGAATATGCATATAGTTAATAACTTAAAAAAGAATTATAAAGGGATCCTCACAAATGTTCTTGGCAGGATTATTCCTCTTTTTTTATTTATTATTATTATTATTTTGTTTTATTTATAGCTATTTTTCTTTAATAATCAAGCTCCAAACTGAGTACCTGAAAAAACAAACCCCATAAATGGAATACTGGATTGACCATGCATACCAAACCCTAACCGTAATTACTGTAGGCTGTAATTAACTTTAAGGCTATGTTTGGTTTGAAGGAAAAAGGTAGGAAAGGAATCTTATTGTATAGGTTTCCCTACTTTTCCCTTCAAACCAAACACAGCGTAAGGGAAGAAGTTCTTAACTGGTTTGTAAGGCGTTGGGACGTCAAGATGGAGATGTCCTCCTGTCTATGAGCAGACATAGAAACCGAAATGTTACTGCTGAACTCGGAGCGCATGTCTGCTGCATCAAAAGCCGTCTGAGCTTCGGATTTCTTGTACAGCCCACCTCTGTAAATTTACACGAACAATACTGAAAATAAGCACGTAGAAGCAGCAGCAGAAGAAGAGAGGAATAAGAGTATCGACGTCGACGGTGTCGACGGTAATAATAAGTCGAACGTACACTTGTTTATATGTGTTTGCGGTGAGGTTATCATAGTCAGAGACGAAAGTTCTAAGCTTAAGCTTATTCACCATCTTCCAGATGGGATTGACTTCATTACCACCAACTCCTTCTACCCAATTAGCTCCAATCTCCACAGACATCCCCGCAAAGTTGGTTTTACAAATGCGACCACCGATCCGATTCGTTGCCTCCAGTATTATTATGTTTTTTATTCCGGCAGCGACCAGCGTTTTTGCCGCTGATATTCCTGAAAATGAGAAGTTTATATTAGTTAGAGACAGATATATATGGAGAGAGAGAGAGAGAGAGAGAGAGAGAGAGAGGATGGAATACTCACCGGACATTCCTGCACCAACAACAATCACAGTTGGAGAAGGCTCTACGGCAGTGGCTCCTCGCAAAAGGATTCTCACTGCAATGACGACGATTAGTAACGCCATCATTGATTTCTCCATGCTTCTCATCTATTTTGATAAACTGTTAAAAACTCTCCTCAAGTTTGTGATTGTTACTGAAACCTTTCCTAAAATTTGGTAATTAGTTGTCTAACTTTCAGATACAGTTGCAAATAGATTCCCTCATTTAGAATCGTCTAACAATAGGCATAAAAATAAAAAATATCCAAAGGATCTTATTATTGCCGCCATTGTAGATAAGGTTCATGTGGTAATGTCCTACTTTGATGTGCCTACTAAATCTGATCCCCTCACCGACACCATCTTTTTTCAATCGATGGTGAGACAAACCTCTTTTATTAATTAACTACTCTCCAATAATTCACAACTTTCTTTCTTTTTCCCTTTTGTTTCATTCAAGATAATATGCATGCAATCAGGACCGCATTTGGCAAATATGGTTGGATGGCCTCTAATTAATAAAATTTCTTTTGAAAAAAAAAAAAGCTCTTTCTCCGACCAACATGTGCTACATCCCCATCTCTCTCTCTCTTCAACGATTAATGTACTAGTGCTATACTTCATCTCCTAAAATCCCAGAGACGTAGGGGTGCAATCGAGCCTAGCTCACAAGAATTTTTATATTTCTTGGCTTGGTTTGATTAAAATGTTGTTAGGTTCCAGTTCAATTCAATTACACATTCGATACGCTTGAAATATAAATATATAAATATATTTTTATATTTTATAAATATATATGATATGTTTTTTATAATATATAATATATATTCTTATATTATATATGAAATATAAAAAAATATTTTACATAAAAATATATTATAATATGTATTATAGATTATATTTTTATATTTTGTAAAAAATATGTATGTATGTATGTATGTATGTATGTATGTATGTATGTATTTTTATATTTTATAATATATATTAATTGAGCTAGCAGCTACTTTTTGAGCCAAACATCTTATTGGTCAAGCTTGAGTTTTGATAACTAATTAAGCTTAGTTCAATATTCAAACTCAAATCGAGCCTAATCAAACTCCAGCCCAAAGTATTTGATTAGAACTCATTTTGGTTGCAGCTCTACCGTAAGGCTCTCAAATAGGAATAATCATTTCTAATCGAGCCCAGTCTAGAATCGGAATCACTTTGGCCTCAGATTTTCGAGTCAGCGGTTAGACCATACAATTCGAATGGATGAACTGTTTCAATTTAAGAAATTAAAAAATATAATTAAAATAAAAAATGACCAAAAACCCCTTTCCAGGTCAAATGGGTTGACTGTTTGATCACTTGGTTCAACAAGTCATTGACCAAGTCAATAGTTTTTAGCCAACGAACAAGTTCAGGGTAAAATGGAATTAGTTGCCTGGACAGTTCCCAAGTTAAACGGTCCAATTGTCTGAACGGTTCGAAAATACTGACTTGTAAGGTTGTACCAAGTTAGGTAACCACTTGATAACATGATTTAATAAGAAAATTCTTCTACAAAAMAAAAGAACAAATTAATAAGGAAAATTTCCTTTGAAACAAGGTCTGAGATCAACTACAATAAAGGTAAATCACTCTCATTCGAACATTCTAGTACATCATGCTCACTTGAACTCTCAATGAATCCAGATCTCTCATTTTCCTTAATCTCTCCAAACTTCCAAAGCTCCCAAAGATCTATAACCTACCACCCCACTACTCCAGTAGTAGTAGACTACATTGTCCATGTATTTCAAGCTAGCTTAGGAGGGATTGAATCATATCAAATATCGGGTTCGGAAGTAGTAGGCACGTTAGATAAGTACAATGAGTGAGCACGTAATGTCTGTGTGACACATGTCCCAGCTAACGTGTCTTTCATCTAAAAGTTTTTGCTCCATTAGATAAAAATTATCTATTATTTTATTATTTTTGTCAAAATAATTAAAAATAAAAACAATGAAAAAGAAAAACCTAAAAGAAAAACATAAATGAGTCCCAACTCCCAACATGTTTAGGTTTTCTTTTTTCATTATTTTTATTTTTAATTATTTTGACAAAAATAATAAAATAATGGATAATTTCTGTCTAATGGAATAAAAACGTTTGGATGAAAGGCGCATTAGCTGGGACATGTGTCACGCATCTATTAAGTGCTCACTCATTGTGATTAGCTAACGTGCCTATACATCCGGACCCTCAAATATCATCCCTCTAAACAGCTTAAACTACAATATGAAAGGATAACATTCAAAATACATGAATTAAAAAAAAAAAGAAAAACTCTAGGCAAGTAAAAAAAGCATACTAGTGCAAAATAATTCTCTCCTGAATCCTGATCTGCTCCTGCCACCATATTCACTCATCCATGGGGGAACAGGGATGGAACACCTTGAAGCCAAGCTTCAAGTGCCTTTGGGCATGGCATGGTACTTGCAATCTTTGTTCTTGATGCATCGGATCATTATCTTTGCAGAATCAATACCTGAAATATTAATTTCTCAAATTCAGTGTCTTACTTAGAATTTAGATAGACCCCCGAATCCATGCCAACTTCTCAATCAATGAACCGGTAGTACTCATTGCTCTCTAATCCCACAATTAATATATACAATTAATTAACACCTAATTAAAGATAAATTAAACTCATTAATTAACCTGCAAGGTAGGCTCCATGCACGTAACCATTGTATTGTTGGCTGGTGTGCTCTCCGGTGAAGTAGACTCTTCCGACGGGTGCCTTTAGAACAACACAAAAAAGAATTTATAAGTAGCATTGATCTTTGTTTCTCCTCCGATCAGACTCGCGGACAGACATAGCTAGGGACGATTCCTGTGGTATCATAGTCGATCGAACCCAAAACACATTTGATAGAAAGGATGGAAATATTCGATGAAAACAGTGCTTAATTAATTAATTACCCTCATCTGATCGTACTCGAAGCGGCTAACCCCAATTGGCCAATTTGAGAATGCTCCCTTGTAGAATCTGTTGGACCACCACCTTGGAACCAATATGTGTGTAGGCTCTGGTATGTTCTTTCCGAACATGTTTCTCAACACCTCCACGATCTCCTTCTTAGTATCAGAATCCGGTTGCTGTTCTATCCTCCTGGATTCATCGTCGGTAACAGTTACCAGAAGAGCATTAGATCCTGGGTACGTCCTCTCCAATTGCTACAAATATTTATTTAACACAAGTAGTAATTAATAATCAATTTAACAAACTCAGATACTGAGATACATCGTTCATCGTCTGTAACAAACTGATCAATCACATATATACCTGCCAAACCGTGTAGTAACCGCGCTTTTCATGAGCATACAAGAAGAACTCGGTGCCATTTCCGGTGGGCCAGAATTTGTAAGGGAATTTGATGAATATTTTGGTATAAACTGCCATATCAAATTGGTATATGGCCAGGATCTTCCATTGCTGTGCCGAATTTATAAAATTTCAGCTAGATTAATTCATCCATCCTCATTTATATATTCAGTTCTAACAGTAACATCTCACATATTAATTAAATTAAAGGAGTAGACGACTAGTGCAAACCGGCAAATCAGGGTGAAAGTTGATGAGATTGGTCTGCAACACACCGATGCTGACTGAGACCATTACGTATGCAGCTCTGTAGATTGAACCATCCTCCGTCTTTACAATCACCCCACTTCTCGACTGTCGTATCTCTGTCACCACCTGCGAAACAATTAAATATCAAATGCTCAAAGTTTAAAAACGTTTTGTGTCTGGTACAGAGTTGCGAGACGAATGATTTTTCACATTCCAATGATCCTGTGCCGCCCGGTTACAATAATCAATTCGAATAGGGACCACCCCAATTCGGTCCACCCAACTTAAAGTTGAAAAAGATATGAAGGTGGTGTTCTATATATATACGGCTTTCATAGTTTTAAATAATTCAATAATTTTTTTTTTGTGGTAAAATTTAAAATTTTGTAAAAAAGTTCTATTGTTTTATATTAAAATAAATTTTATCAGTCAATATAAATTTATCAGTGCTATTTCTTATTTAATTTGGATATAATTAATCATGTATAGTCAACTTTATACATGATTTGTCAGGACTCACATGTATAAGTAGTAATTAAGAAGACAAGTAGCTAGACAACAAATGCTTGAAAAGTGATGAGTCGTCGAGTCAGTCACCTTGTTAAGCTTGAAACGAGGGTCGGTGATGACGCCGTCGGCATCGGTAGTTAGGAATTGCTTAGCGATGTAGTAAACGACGGTCTCGTAACCTTTGGGATCTGCGACGAAGTAAAGATCCTCTCCGAAGTTCGAAAACGTTGGCAAAGGCTCCCCGTTCTGCAAGCTCGTCACCCGCGGTGGCTCTGCAAACTCGTAATCGTAGGTGTAGTAGTCCACCGCCATATCGATCGGCGTATACGGAACCCTGCCATTCTGATCATGTGTTAAATCCAACAGAAATGGGTTTACGACATCGTTTCTTCCAGTTATCGAGCAAGCAGTGTTTGAGTCAGAAACATCCAAGAAAGTGAGACAGCTTTTTAGTGAGAGATATGGCCACGTTAACGTAAACTATTCGGTAAGATGTTTGTACACCCAACATGATGATGGTGAAGTACTGAAGTCTGTTCTTTTCTATCAAATATTGTCGTAATAAAAGTGAACTCCGACAATTAAAACAAAGGGAAGAATGGATACACTATCATTCACATTGAAAATTAATAATGTGCTATAAGAACCATTGCTATATCTTATATAGTAGCAATCTTAGTCGGTTCATGGGGCTATTTAACCCCTCATAGATTAAACCACAGCCAAACCAAAGCAAAAAAAAAAAAAAAAAAAAACTGAACCCTCCACACCCGACTTTCTACCAACTGAACAAAGAAAGGCTGAAAACTAAACCGACCTCCTCCCTCTGCCACCCCTACCAATTGAACAAATAAGGTGAAATTAAATATGTTGTTTAAACCAAAAATTCAAGAATGTATATTTTGTTTCAGCACTATAGACATACAAAACAAACACTCTCATCCATATTAAAACTCATGACCAAAAAAATGGAACGAAATGAAAGGCTGTGGTTGCTTATACGGGAGATTTATCCCTCACAATATCAAATTAATTTATAATTGGGGACAGTAATGGCGTCCCCGTTCCAAGGGCAGCTGAAGCTATTCTTTGGAGTACATGCATTTATATGGACTAGTAAGTGTTCGTGACAATTAATATGTTTTCTTTTTTTTTTTTAATTTTTTGTATTTCTATGTTTATAAAAATTATTCTTATTTATCCACTTTTTTTATTTAATATGATGAATACATGATACTAGAGATGTGCCCAAATGTTTTTTTACATTTTTTCTTTTTTATATTTTTTATACTTTTGTGTGTATTCATCTTTATTAATTTTTAGGGAAAATTGCTAAAACCTCCCCTAAATTTTCTTACCATTGCCAAAAAACCTCCCCTGAAGTTTGGTAATTGCAATCGAGTCCCATGAACTTTTTGACACATTTACGAAAAGTCCAAAAGGAAAGTGACAAACTCCAAAGCTATAACATGAGGTGATGAAGACATTTTAGTTTTTATATTTTCTTTAATTTATTTTTTAGTAGGCAACACATAATGCTCAGTTTGGAAGGAGTACAAATGCAAATATGTACAGCGCAAATATATATAAAATAATGCAAAATACAAGGTTTTGCACTCTACATATTTGTATTTGTACTCCTTCCAAACTGAGCCTAAGAGTTCCTATAAGTTAACCCAAAGTATTTAAATTCATATCACTAATCTCTTGCTTTCGGTTAAATGACAATTGCCCTTGTTTTAAAAATCAAAATCCTGCATAGTATGATGGACAGTCCCTTTCAAAGTAAGTTTCAGAAATACAATTTTTATATTCAAAATATATTAATGAAAACGTTGGATCTTTCGACATTAAGACTATGCTTGGTTTGAAGGAAAAGGGAGGGAAAGGAAGGGAAATGTAAGGAAACCTATACAAGGTTTGTATAAGTTTCCCTACTTTTCCCTTCCCTTCCCTACTTTTTCCTTTAAACCAAACACGGCCTAAGTGAAAAACAAAATTCTCACTCAAATCACGAATTTCAATATTATGAAGATGGATTATGCCCTCAAAGTCAATGATGATAATTCGGAAGTGTTTTTTTATTAATTTTTATTTTCTTTGATAATCATCGTCATTTAAACATTAGGATTTATTTGATTTAAGGCCCTTTCGCTTTTTGGATTTTGGGAGGGGGGAGTGGGTTAACGGGTCTTGGTTCTCAATGACCAGGAAATCCATATTCTATTTTTCAAATTTATGTAGGGTCCATGGAAATTTTATTTTTTTTGGGTGCCAGTTAACCAGGTAAGTGATACCCATCTTTTATGTAGGTAAATAAATTTTTCATCCGAGGGAAAATTATTGATACTTGGATAGGACAAAATTATCTCTTTTAAAAATGACTTTTTATAATTAAAACAACCATTGTCTTATTTACCTGAGAAATTAAAAAAAAATGGTAAATACATTTACCCAGATAAATAACTTCATGAAAAGTGAATAGAGCCTCGAGAAAAAAAAATAAGAAAAGAAAAGGAAAGATAGAAACCTATACAACCTTGTATAGGTCCCCAACCCTTTTCAAACCAAAAACATCCTTAGAGTGATCCTTTTTGTAGTTGACAATTGAGGGCATGCCCATGTTTCGAGTCGAGAGTCAAAAGTTGCTTTTAATCAATTTTAAGTCTAGACCAGGGGAATTCTATGGGGCAGGTGTCAAATAATTTTCGAAGTGCTGACTCAGTGTGCTCACCATGTGTGCCCACCTGATCTGGACTGCCATATTTCAGTGGGCCTCACAATATCACATGCATTCTACAATGTATTCTATCCACTAATTCCCACTTAACAACTAATGGGGAACCAAACCGGCCAAACTATTGAGGGGTATTCTACACTATGAATATTTTGTTTTTGAAATTGTTATATCAGCAAAAAAAAAAAAAAAAAAACTCTTGATACTAAAAGAAAAATAATTCACAATGGACCACAGCCCCAGCTATACCAAAAGAAAAGAAACCGAAAAAAAATTCTTTTCTTTAATTTTAAATAGGTTTTATGGTTGTTTTAATCTAAAACATGACAGTACTCTTATATTAATAACAGATTTGTCTGAAATTTCTAAATCATTAATTGTAGTAGAATTCCATAAAACCTCTAAAACTAAAGAGATTAATTAGATTATATATCATGGGCTTCTCATATAAGATGTTATAAAACATGCTTCCGATTTATAAAACAACTATTTTGAAAAATAAGGTCTAACACAATTTTTGGACACTTTTTTTCTTTTTCTTTTTGCTTTTACCTTCAGAATATATGCATATAGTTAATAATAAGTTACGTAAAGAATTACAAAGAAAAAAAAAACAGAAACTTAATTAATCAAAGGGATCCCACAAATGGAATACTGGATTGACCATGCATACCAAACCCTAATTTAAGGGAATCAAGGAGTTCTTAACTGGTTTGTAAGGCGTTGGGACGTCAAGATGGAGATGTCCTCCTGTCTATGAGCAGACATAGAAACCGAAATGTTAGTGCTGAACTCGGAGCGCATGTCTGCTGCACCAAAAGCCGTCTGAGCTTCGGATTTCTTGTACAGCCCACCTCTGTAAATTTACACGAACAATACTGAAAATAAGCACGTAGAAGCAGCAGCAGAAGAAGAGAGGAATAAGAGTATCGACGTCGACGGTGTCGACGGTAATAATAAGTCGAACGTACACTTGTTTATATGTGTTTGCGGTGAGGTTATCATAGTCAGAGACGAAAGTCCTAAGCTTAAGCTTATTCACCATCTTCCAGATGGGATTGACTTCATTACCACCAACTCCTTCTACCCAATTAGCTCCAATCTCCACAGACATCCCCGCAAAGTTGGTTTTACAAATGCGACCACCGATCCGATTCGTTGCCTCCAGTATTATTATGTTTTTTATTCCGGCAGCGACCAGCGTTTTTGCCGCTGATATCCCTGAAAATGAGAAGTTTATATTAGTTAGAGATAGATATATATGGAGAGAGAGAGAGAGAGAGAGAGAGAGGATGGAATACTCACCGGACATTCCTGCACCAACAACAATCACAGTTGGAGAAGTCTCTACGGCAGTGGCTCCTTGCAAAAGGATACTCAGTGCAATGACGACGATTAGTAACGCCATTATTGATTTCTCCATGCTTCTCATCTATGCTACCTTCTGGCGTACTCTATAAATATACAAGCACATTAGTCCGGATTTAGTACTGCCATCTTTCTGCTTTCCACTGTACTAATCCAATAGCAGCTGTCCCTAACCTTGTGTAAGTCTCTCCCTTAGACACCACCTTCTATGTTGTCACACCGTGTTAAGACTTTTGCACCGGTGCATCGAGAATATCTCTGTATTTGCAAGTTCTTACTCTGGGGAGATATTCCCAATGTACACCTACAAGTGGCTGTAAGCACAGTGTGAATTGGCTTCTAATCCAATTTTGTCTCTCATTCCTTCCCTACCATTTATCTATTTTTTGTTTTTTTTTTAATTTTTATTTTTAAAATTGGACAAAATTATTCAAGCAACCAATCAATTTTAAGTATTAAAAACCTTTATCTCTCCTCATTAGCTCCCTCTTCTCTTTCTCATTAAATCGTTTCATTATCTCTCCTCATTAATCATTCCATTAACTTCTTAATAACTCATTCCACTTGTTGTCTCTTTTTTGAGAATGTGAAAATGTCTAAAATACCCATACAGTTACTTTGATCAAAATTTTTATTTTTCAAGTTTTCTCTACGTATGAATCACTACTCTAAATCCCTGTTACCACTTTTCTGAAATTGATTTATTTTTTATTTTGTCCTT